CTGAGTATATTCTCGGAAAGGATTGACATCAAAACTACCATGAAATAGGGTAACATTTCTCAAGTAATTTTTAAAAATAAAGAAATCATTACACACACACACAAGTTTTTATAAAAATATATAGATAATATTACAACCAATCTATGTTACTCTTAGAGTGATTAGAAAGAAAATATTCTTGCAATGCATACTAAATATTGATTTAATTTTGCTTATGAAAAATATAAATTAGAACTCCCTGACTACTGAAGTTTGTAGGTAGCTTCACTGAAAACCTTCACGAGACAAAACTCGTCCACTAGGAATCACCTAGGGCTTTAAAAGCTTGTTGCATTTGCTAAATACAATCGTAAAAAAATCTACGAAAATGATTTTACCTCTGTTTATATTATATTGTGTTAATAGTTTTTTTAAAATTTACTAGGGACTAGTAAAGTTTAAGTTGGGGAGTGTGATTAACCTTAATTAATATATAACTTAAAACAATAATAAAATCGAATTAGTGTGATAAAATAACTAAAAGCTAGCAATTAGAGTCAATTAGGGTTTTATGTCTATTATGTTTACAAGTTGCAGGTTTAATGCAGAATTACTACACAATGCAGGGAACCAAGTAGGAAAACATAAAAAACAAAGGCTAAAGTGTAATTTCCCAACAAGAAAAGTCAGCATACAACGCAAGTTGTAAATTCCAGCAAAGCACTACCGTCCGGACAGTGGTGATGGCGTCCGAACGGTCCCTCTTGATGGTTATCTCCAGCTTTCCACCTCATGCTTTCCTGACGCCTATATATATGTGTTGCAAGCCTCCATTTGAAACAGGCCGAAACCAAGAAGCTTCAGAGAGAAATCCAAGAGAGAAAAAGAAAAGAGAAAAAAGAAAAAGAGAAGTGCAACACGATCCGGTCCGTGATATACTTTAGTCTGAACTCTGTACTTTTACATTTCTGTTATATCTTTCTACTAGGATAGTTGAACTGCTGCCACATTTTTGTCTTAACTGATAATAAAGGTGGTTGTGTTTCAGTTGTTCCTTGTGAAAGACATTTTAAATACTATCTTTTAATTTCAGTTGTAATGAAAACTGTCCACACTCCTTGCTTATCTGTAGCAATGGGGCGTGAGTAGTTCTGTATATCCTCCAGTGAGAGGTAAACATATGTACAATACTGTTTAAATTATGAAAATGCTGATGTCTTATTTATATTTTATTTATCTATGTATTATATGCTTAATGCGTGATACAGTGATGTGCATAATTCCGGTGATGTGCCTTGAATTATGTCGTCAATGCATCATAAGACCCGCTGGTTAAACAACCATGGCGTTCCTACCGGTGTGGCTTGTCATCCACCGAAATGTTGAGGATGTTCTACTGATGTGTGGTGCAGAACCTAAATGATCCTCATGAATTGCTTGTCCTTCTGGGTTATTAGGGTCATTTAAATACTATATATAACTATATTGCTAGTCTACCAACCACTGCATTCCTACCGGTATGGCTTGTCCTCCACCAGAATGCTGAGGATGTTTATATATATATATATATATATATTACAGATGACCTATTGGGTAATTCAAGTATTCCTCATCAATGGCTTGTCCTTCTAGTTTACTTGAATTAGTCAATTGGTACGTCTATAACCAGTTTTCCTAAGAAGTTGATGTGTTATGCTATAATATGACTAGTAAACCTAAGACGTGGCTGTGTTATGGTTTAATATGTACGCACTTATAATCACGAGATCAAGTGAATAACTCAAGTATTCCTCATGAATGGTTTGTCCTTCTGGTTTGCTTGGGTTAATCAATTGACGTGGATATAACCAGTTAGCCTAAGAAGCGGTTGTGTTATGATTTATTACCCCCAGTTAGCCTATGAAATGGTTGTGCTATGGTTTATATACATCATACCAACCAGTTGACTTGCCAATAAAATGGGAGTTAATCTTGGTACGTTAGCATTTCCAGTATTTAACCAATATAACGCATATGGAATCCTTAAACTGAAGGATACTTTTTATTATTGTATTAATCTATCTGCAAATTTACATTTCTTATACTAGTTATCAATCTAAGCTCACATCACAAGCTATCACATGTTGTCCTCTTTAACTTAGCAACTTGACTCTTTAATTTTGTTTCCAAATTATTAAAACTCTTCGTGGGATCGATGCTTGGACTTAAAACCGAGAAAACTACAATTCGACCACTTATACTTGGGTGTATAATATTAATCCGATCACGAAAAAGTGTGAATCAGGTTTGATTAATGTTCAACACGAACCCGCAATGACTCAATACGAACTTAACACGACACGACTCGATTGTCACCCCTAATCTTAGCAAGCACCAAAAAAAAATTAATCATTTTTATTTTCCATCCATCTTACCAAACACAAAGGAAGGAAATTATATCATTCATACTTTTCTTCTTTGAAGGATAAAAAGTGTATATCTCTTACTTTTCATCTCTCCTATTTTTTATCCCTCTTACTTTCCATTCTTCCTATCAAACGGAGCAAAACTTAACTTTAAAAGACTATAATTTTTGGCACGATATCATGGATGGTACCATGGTCTTTTCCCGAATGATAATATGACAGTTGGCAAATGGAACACAATTAAATATTATGGTAAATTATATTCACCTCCCTTGAGGTTTGATCAAATAATAACTAGACCCCCTTTTATTTGAGAAATAACACTGCACTCCTTTTTGCTTTAGTTGTCAGTAACATATTCCTCCTACCGTGAATCTCCCGTCAAGAATTCGTTAACAGTTTAGTGATATAAGCAATCTATAATTTTAAAATACCAATTCTAACCTTCTAGATCCCACATACATTTAAACTTGTTGCTAAAGCAGTCCAGCCCCTCCATGGCACCCACCTTAACCCCTCCTCTCCACCCCTCCCCTCCACCTCCTCTCCCTTTCTCTCTGTCTAACTCTACACACATAGGCACAACCCATTTAATTATCATCTCTCTCTCTCTCTATCTATCTATCTATCTATCTATCTATCTATATAAATATATATATATATATATATATATAATATCAATAAACCCAAACGACTTTTACGAATGGGGGTGTTGGGTGGCAGATCCATTGTTTCGTTTGGGGCTCACAGCGATAATGTTGATGGTAGATGACAGTGTTAGGTGACAAGGGTTTGTCGGTAATTTTTGTGGAATTGGTTGGAGATTTGTTCAACGATGATGATCGGAGCTAACCACCATGCCACCGTGCACCTTGGATCCATCACCACAATGAATGAAGATGGCGAGGGTGACAGCAAAGGTAAAAGATGAAGACGAATACCCCACCTTTGTAACTTCATCTTGTACATCAAACATGAAGGCGACAACCCCTTATCTTCCACTTAATTGAATTTGATTGATTTTGTGTGGAATTTAAATTGACAAATAGCTATGTAAGTAATTGGGAAGATTTCTTCGAGTTGATGTGCAGGTAGCTTCCCCCCTCCCCTTCCCTCATGTACATATACACATGTTGTGAAATGGGTTGGATGTTATGCGATTGTGTTTGTGAACCAATGGTGATGGTGGTGGAGAAATAGGTGGGGTGGTGGTGGCCGAGAAGTAGGTTGGGCAATGGTGGTGGGTGGTAAGCTAATGGTTGGTGGTGGTAGTTCTCATGGAGGTTGGACGAAAAAATGAAGAGCGAAGATGAATGGCGAAAATGCAGTGTTATCAGAATTGGACTGGACCGAACAATTCAATCGGTTCAACCGTGACCCGGAACTTTAACCGATCCAATTCTATAATTAGATAGCATAAGGAATAGAATCGGATGAAAACAGCCAAACAAGCCGATTTTTGGTCAAAATTATGAACCGGACGGTTCGATTCCACTCCATATATATACAAAAAAAACCTATTTTTTGGGGTCATTTTGGCCTAAATTGCAAAAATGAGAATAGATCTAACATATCTGAGGGCCTTCGCACTTCGCTTCCCTGTAGACTTTCCACTCAGGTTGCCCCTTCGTCTTCTTTGTCTCCTTCCAAATCTAGCCCTTGAACAAAAACCCACCACAGATCTATCTCTCGAATTGTCGAACAACAACACACCACATATCTCCTCCTATCTCTGTCCATGCAGACACACACCCACGTAATACACAAAGTGTTGGTAAGTAGTACATAATTATGGGTTCTTTGTAAATGGGTAGGATTCGAGTAAATGGGTTCTTTGTAAATAAGTTTTTGTCTCCTTGTGTTAATTTGGGGACTGAGGTCGGGACATAAAGAATGGTGGTGGTTGGGAAACAATGAATTACCTTTAATTCTCATTCACTAACCCAGGTGGCACGTATGAATTAGTGATAATTGACACAGTGATTATAATTTAAGAGTCAATTTGATAAATTACTCATGTTAGGTAGAAAATAGAATGAATAAATTAGAATGGATATTTCATATATTTTTTTAGATCAATTATTATGTTTTATAATTTTTTAATATACAATCGATTCGAACAGTTAACTAAATTGTTGAACCATTGAACCACTGAACTGGTCTTTCTGTCGGTTCGATGTCTGGTCTGTTTCTGATAACTATGATAAAATGAATGGAGAAAATGAATTTTAACAAAAAAATAAAATAAAAAAAAAAAGGGACTAAAGGCTATTATAGTCATTTAACAATTATGTCATTAAAATGGGACGAACATTACTAACAAGGGAGTGCAGTGTTATTTCCCAAATAAGAGGGGTTTGGTTGTTAGTTGACCAAAATTTATGGGATGTGAATGTAATTTACCTTACATATTAAAGTTTTGGCAACCATTTAAAGCAATATTATTAAAATCGGATCAGATCAGTCGGTTCAACCGGTTGGACCTTGAATCGGTACCTAAAATGGTCTGATTCTCTAATTAGACCGTATAAAGAAGCAAACCGCTTGAAAACCTCCGGCTGATTTTGGATCAAATCTGTGAATTGGACGGTTTGGCAAACCCGGTCGATTGAAATTTCAAGCGCGTTCATAATCTTCACTTCGTGAGTTGTCAGTTGAGCGTTCAAGTCTTTGAACACTCCCATCGGAAAACAAACAGGTTGTGTTAACATCATCAAAGCCATTAGATCCAACGGGCAGTCGCAAGCGCGGTTCGAACTCAACAGGTGCATCAAAGTCTTTCTTGTCTTCGCTATGATAGTGGTTTCCATCTTCTAAAGCAGCCTCTTCGAATGGCTCATCCCGACACTGTATCTCCTGATCTTCGTTGTCTTCGTCAACTGGAGGACCACCATCTCCGTTGTCAGGCTACCCAAATTAGCCCTAGACATGGTGTGGGTTTGAATCGGGACATCCTTGAAATTAAAATGCTTAGGCTGTTTAGTCAATGTTATCACAATCAAACCGGTCATCAAACCGGCTAAAAAAGTAGGTTAATGGTTCATTGGTTCAATTAGTGAGCCAACTGGTCAGACCGATTATATAATAAAAAAATATATATAATAATTAAAAAAATAATAATTTAACTAAAAAGAAAAATATGTTTAAAATACATACAATTTCAAACATCAAAGTTGAATTTTAAAGTTCCAATCCAAGTCTATAACCAAAAAATCACTCCCAAGTCCAAACCCTAGACCACAATCTCTATCAAAGTTAAAAGTTTACGTAAGAATACATCATCCAAATATAATTCACATAAGTTGCAAAAAACTCAACACCACATCGAGAAAAACAAAGAGATTGCCGATACTTTCCAGAATGTTCAACTAAAATGGAGATTCGCCTGTATTCAGTCTCCAAACCCGATCAGTATTCCATAGAAAACTTTTTTGAGCACATTTTTCGCAAGAAGTTCAAAGAAAAAGTGTTGAACGAGTATTTACCCCATATTTTGGAAGAGTACCAAAGGATAAAGGATAATGACAAGGTGATGAAGCTCTATGCTATGAATCTATCTAATGATGGTCTGGTTGGTATTAGAACAATTGGGGTTCGATCAATTTTGATCATCCATCAACGTTTGGGACTCTTGCTATGAATGAAGAGAAGAAGGAGGCGATAATCCATGGTTTGAAGAGATTTGTGAGGGGAAAAGATATTTACAAGGGGTTAGGAAGGCTCAGATAGTCCATATACCCGTTAATTTTTAATTTGGCATTAAATCGTCCGATTTTATAAAATTCACCGGTTCATGGTTTTTTACAAGAACCTGCCAATTTTCTGGTTTTAGCTGGTTCTCTTCCTTAAACGGTTTAACAACGGAACCAGACCGTTAAGATCCCGATTCACAGTTGAATTGATCCGATTCTAATAACACTGTTGTTTAGCCTTAAAATGGCCCACCCTCATTGGGCTTTGAATACTCAAATCAGTACACAAATTAATGGTTGAAAGTCACCTGGGCTTTGTTGAGTTTTGAGATAGAAAGCCCAAGTTCTTTTGGAAAGCCCACAGGACCACTTCCAGAAACTAATCCTCTGCTACAGCCCATTTCATTAACTTCTTTAATGGCCTTTCCAAACCCATTAACATTCCCCCTGTTTTTTCAAAATTTGAATCAATATCTGTGTAGAAACGACTCCCATTTTCAGATAATTGTGAAATTTTGTGAATGGTGATTGTGGATTGGGAATTAATAATACTACTTTATTTCATTCAAAATATTCAGTATTATTATGTTTTATAATTATAATTATAATTATTATATATTTTTTTATTATATAACCAGCCTAATCAATTGACACAACGATTGAATTAATGAACCATTGACCCAATCCTTTTGTCGGCTCGATGACCGATTTAACTCTGTAACATTGATTTAAATTAAATAATCACTAAACACCTATACGTGGTTGCTCTGTAAGACGATTCTTAAAGTCAACAACTTGCCCAAAATAAAGTTTTTAAATATGAAAATGTTACACAACCAATGACCGTTGACGTTTTCCATTTTCACCAGCGTTTCCATTTGTAGGTGGCTGATAATTATGACCGTTGACATTTTGGCTCGTGAAATGTGAAACAAAAAAAAAAGCAGTTGTTTTGAGGCGTCACGCTGCTGTGTGGTTCCATGTATAGTTTCACAATCCTTGAAAAACCAAAGTAAATGTATTTTGCCTGACTAAGGTTCGGTCCATCCCAACTTGTGCCATTCAACTTTTGTTTTTCTTCTTCACATTTTTTATGCATTCTAGCTCTGAATTATTCGAGAAAATTCTCGGCTCGTATAAGACATTAGATGACAGTACTATGTGATACATATATTTAATAAAAAATTGTTATAACACCTGTTTATCAGATTCGTAAGTTAATTTTGTTTTTTTTTTAAATGAAAGCTTCGCAAATAACAGAATTTGATTGAGAACATACACCGCAAAACACTGTCATGTACTATTTAGTGATCATGCAATATTTTTTCAAATTACACAACTCAAAAAAATTCTTCATTATAAAAAAAAATTACGATATTCAAAAGTAATATATTAGTGTTGTAATAAAAGTTATAAGTTTAATAAGATGAGATAATGACTCGAGTATGTCAAAGTTATGACACAATGACATATTGAAGGTCGATCATTTATGTTTTTTTTTTAAATTAAAACAATGTGTCTTAAGGATTTTTTTTTTGGTTTGAAAAAACGCTTAGAGATTATTTCGATAAACCTTCACTAGTGGAATCATGAGATTCCTGACTGCGCTCGTTACTTCTCTTGGAAATAAACTTAAATAAATTAACATAACAGTCAACTATTGAACTTCAATGTAGACTCTATGACTCAACTTTTAACTTTATGGTAAAAATACATCGATACCCTACTGAACCACCTAAGCGATAGTATATGTCTAAGGCTATTAGTTGTAAAGTGGTTTGTCTAATTGATGTCAAGTTCAAAAGGATACATCAAGATAAGTTTGCACCGAAAATATAGAATCACACTAGAAATTTTTTTGGTTTAGTGATTGAAATTGGTCTTTGATAATTTAAATGTCTCAAATTCAATTTATTTTCACATTCTTTAATAATTTGTCTCTTTGTGTCATACTTTAACCCAATTTAAATCATAATTACTAAACTATTAAACTGTCGACCCAACCCTAATCACCTTATAGCTAAAAAAAAAAAAAAAATTGAACCACGCTAGAATTGTTCATGAGACAAGTCATAGGTCATCACCCCTCTCATCCCCAAAAATGAAAAACATGTCAAAAAGTGAAAATTCAGACCTTATCCTAATTAGTAAGCCCCATTCCACATGACACGTGGTCGCCCCCTCCACGCCCTTACCGGAGCAACCAAAAATGTAACCCTCACGTAACATCCCAACACGTGTCCTTCTCGCTCACCTTTCGCCTACCTACTAGCCCCACGCCCTGTGACGACGCATTCATATACGAGCCTGTAGTAAATACCAAGTAAATTACATAACACCCCTACTAAACTTAGGTAATATTTATCTTTCTCCCTAATAAAATGATATTTCAACAACAATGTCCTAGTTTATAGAAAACCTTTTCGATTGGATTTTAAGTTTTTGAATTTCTATTTTTAGAATTTATCTTACCTTTTTTTAATCCTCCATTTTGAGATTAATTAGTCTTGAGTTGCATAATACTACTGGTAGCAATTCTAGACCACATTCTTGTTATTCTTATGTACCAAAATATGTTCCCCTCTCCTAAGCATACTCTTGGAGTGGGGAATCAATGTACTATTGGCCTTGAAAATTTAGGTGTGAATTAGTTTGTTAATTTGATTGTTTTATGAAGGAACCCAGTTAGTCGTGATTTCCTCTATAGCTCAAAAACAAACAAAATTATTTTCTAATAAAATCATACTATGATAAAGTTTAGATTTATTGTTGTTAATTTCAAAGTTGTTGAATTAAATATAGATTTATATAACATTAGAACTTACAAATAATTCAATATTTGCATTGAATTAAGTCTCTAAAACATTGCTCTAAAAACTATTGGGGCCTAACTATTATTTACAACCTTAAGGGTGTTACTCTGTAGTTTCCACGTACACGTAATAGGCAGCACTATTGGACGGCGTAGCTCTAGCCGTTATATATACTGCACCATCCCCTTCCCAACCTTTCGTAGATGCTCCACAAAACATTTGTCTTCTCTCTCCCTTCCCCAAAATTACTCATTCATACTCTAAAAACCATCAAAGGCTCAATTTTTCTTCCTATTCTTATACCATCTACAATGACGAACGAGAGAGGTTCTACGGTATTCCCGGCGAAAACAAGTCTCCGCCGGCCAAAATTCGGTACCCTCTTGTCCTCCGATCCTAACCTTTCAATTGTTCGAGACGAAAACACCTACTCTCGCCGTGACAGTTCCGCTTCCGTCTCCGATCCTAGCCCTCCGTTCTCCGATATGTCTAATCCCAATAGCGCCAATGCTTCTCCTTCTCCATATTTCATGTCACCATGGAACAACAGCCACTCGCCTTATGTAAAATCTCCATGGACACAAGCCTCTTCGATGGACTCGTATTCGTATAATGATGATAAACTTGGTACCAAACGGTCTTATTGGTTCGCTTGTTCGTGAAGAGGGTCATATATATTCATTAGCCACTTCCGGTGACTTTTTATACACAGGATCAGACAGCAAGAACATAAGGGTGTGGAAGAACTTGAAGGATTTTTCCGGGTTTAAATCCAGAAGTGGATTAGTCAAAGCCATCGTCACTCCGGCGACAAAATTTCACCGGCCATCAGGACGGAAAAATTCGAATTTGGAAACTTCCGGCGAAGAATAAACGGACAGTTTACAAACGGGTTGGCAATTTACCCACGACCAGAGATTATCTGAAGAGCTCTATGAATCCGAAGAACTATGTAGAAGTTAGAAGACACCGTAACGTTCTATGGATTAAACACTTCGATGCAGTTTCATGCATGAGTTTGGATGAAGAAAATGGGTTTCTTTATTCGGGTTCTTGGGATAAAACCTAAAAGTTTGGAGACTCTCTGATTATAAGTGCTTAGACTCCATTAACGCCCATGACGATGCTGTAAATTCAGTGGCCGTAGGCTTTGATGGGTTGATTTTCACAGGCTCAGCAGATGGGACAGTGAAGGTTTGGAGGAGAGAATTGGTGGGGAAGACGGTAAAACATGTTCTTGTACAGACATTGTTGAATCAAGAAAACGCGGTGACGGCGCTGGCTGTGAACGCGGCTGCGGAGGTGGTGTACGGCGGATCATCAGACGGGTTGGTGACTTTTGGGAGAGGGAGAAGCATTTTATGGCTCACGGCGGTGTGCTTAAGGGTCACAAGTTGGCGGTGTTGTGCTTAGCGGTGGGTGGTGGTTGGTGTTCAGTGGGTCGGCGGACAAGAGTATATGTGTTTGGAGGAGAAAGGAGGCTGGGGTCCACACGTGCGTGTCTGTGCTGACTGGTCATAGTGGGCCAGTGAAATGCCTGGCCGTTAAGATGGATCATGATCAAGAGAAGAAGGATGTTGATCAACGGTGGATTGTGTTATAGTGGGAGTTTGGACAAGTCTGTGAAGTTTTGGAGGGTGTCCGAGCATGCACCTAATTTGAAGCCGGCCAGTTATGAGCTTCCTAAATCCTAAACTAATTGATGTTTTTTTTTTTTGCAAAAGACTCAACTTTGAGAAGTACTGGGTACAGCTATATTCCTGTGCAAGAGGGTGTTGTTCTTCTAAACGATGCTGTTTTGCGTATAAGACGTCGCATTTCAAGTATAAAATGACACCGTTTAAGGGAACAACACCCCTACGGGATTACAAAAAATCCATGCCTGAAGTTCTGATAGTAGGACCTGAGGGGTGGGTCGAAAACATGTCAAAAAAATAATAATAATTTGTTTTTGTATTTTGGGTAGTTTATTTGTTGCATTGCTTTATTCATTCAACATTCTACATTGTATATAGTAAAGCAATATGTGACCAAAAATTTGTGGTCTAGTAATTAAAGAAATGCATTTGTAATTCATTCCATATGGTAAATATTTTATGTTTTTTTTAAATAATAAGAAACAATTAAAGTTAAGGTCACTTTAGATTTATCATTGCGCTAGATACCTACAATCACTATAAATCATAAGTTCAGTTAGCTCTGAGAAACACTAATTGCACGGGATAATTTCTGTAATCGTTTGAGATAGCGACCTCCAATCTGATGAACTTGAAACAATCACAGAGTCAAAAAAAAGGGGGTCAAGTGAACACCGGCTTATCCTCTCTGAAGCTTAAGTCAATCTCAAAATTCGAGGTTCAACCTCAATGAATAATATTTTTTGGTTCAATTTTGCGTACATTTATTCATTTTTCTGAAGAGTATTTATACCTGAATTTGCAATGATTGTCAAAGACCTCCAGTCTCATATGGACATTTAATGTTTGACATGTCACTCCTCGTGCAATAAGTGTTTTCCACTCAAGGTTTCTCCTATTTAATGCTAAGATGATAGGACGAGTGTTCGACTCTATGCCGAGCATTTATGTCCTTTCCCAAGTATCCACATTCCTCAGATCGACATCTGACACCCCCGCAACTCAGCATTGAATACTCGGGAAAACAGTTCTTTGGAGAGAGTCGATTGTATATACTTGGCATAGTAGCTATCAATGCCTAACCATTATGATGGTAGACCTAGACTCTCAGAATGCAGGCGTTCGCAGACGCTCATTAATAGCCTTATCACCATTACTCATTCCTCTATAAATGAGAGGTCACATCGTATTAAATACGATGTCAGCTGTTGTACTCGGCTCATTTGAGATACCATATCTCGACTTACTTCTTCGGCGCCTCTTGGACATCAAACGACTCCATCTTTCCACGTGTCAGTCTGGGGACTGTAAAGCCACCTAGAGCCCCACCACTAATCATGGTTGAACCTCTGACATTCTAATTTATAGTTCATATAAGTCCAACCCTACATTGATATATTTTATGTTTGGCTCGTAAAGACCTAAAGTTTAATATAACCAAAAGATCAATGTATAACAATTTGGGTAATGCAAAAATATATTTTTAGATGTTAATATTCAATTTACGGAAACAAGAGTTAAGCAAGGGTGAGGTTGTTTCATTAATCTCCTTCCATAACATGTATTATGGACTACTTTTCTAGGCCTCCCCTTTATTCTAGCTCTAGAGGTTGTGCAAGGGATTATGCCTTCGTACAATATTAGTAAAATAGGACAATCGTGAAAAATTAAGTTATTCATGTACGACCATGAGTGGGAAAGGGTGGGGGAAATAGGGAAGTTGCCCCCATGTGCAGCTCAAAAAATATTGGGTAAATTTCAAATTTAAAAGATTTATAACTTTCAAAATGTTTTCTCTCATCGGAAAATGTATCAAAAATTCAAGAATAGTTTAATATTCTAAAAATTAAATGTAATTCTTTTAGAGCATCTTTCATTAGTTTTCTATTCTCACTCTGCTCTCTATTTCAGATAGTTAAACCACTAAAAATCTATCTTAATAGACTTTTTATTTAATCTAATTAAAATAGAGAGTTAATTTGACTTTCCGTATTTTTAGAATTAAACTCACTTTTTGCTTTTATAATTAATAAATGAAAATATTACACATATAAATGTTTCATTAAATGCTTTGACTCTAGAGGTTATTTTGACATTAGAATATAGAGTTCTAGTCGAGTTGAGAAAAAGATGTTCTATAAAATAGAGATTATTATTGGAGATACTTTTACATAGAGTAATGTTACATAGACTTAAAAAGTAGACTTGATAATTATAACTATTGATTTCACTGTGGGTCCAGTATTTATTGGGATTTGTTAATATATCCGATTTTGACCTAAATCTGATCCAACTATAAAATTCTATTAGCTAGCATGAATTGATATTTTTAACCGACTATCTGAATCCGAATAAATTATATAACGTTTCAAAGATTTAGATTTAGATATAACATAAATAGTCTTAATCTCAGTTTGGCAGGTTGGGGGGTGCAACTGTTGGACTCAGCCCACATTTACCTAGACAATTAAGATCTGGGCCACTCTTCACATATAGACCTCCTTCGCAATATGGGCCCCCAAAGGTTATATTCTCCAGCCCAGCCGAAACCCATTCAAAAACCTAAAGCCTTCTCTCCTCTTCTCTCTCTATATATACAGCTACATCTCCCCCCAAACCGAAACCCTAGTAGAAGAAGCAGCGCCGCACCAGTGTCACATCTCTTTCTCCTTAGGTAAAATTCCTTCAATTCTCTCTGCCTCTCTCTCTCTGATAGATAATTCTTCAAGTATTTGCTGCTTCTTAATAGTTATCTCTATTTTACCGATTTGATCTGTTATTTTCACAATAATCATCTGTTAAATCTTTCAGATATCATTTTTCCACAGAGAAAAAGATTGAAGTAGAAGATGTCGATTCCTGAACTCGCTTGCACTTATGCTACTTTGATCCTCAGCGACGATGGCATTCCCATCACCGTGCGCATATTTCTCCTCCTCGTATACATCTTTGATTTATTGCATTCATATATATACATATGTTTCTTTATGTATTGTTTTCTCCTTTTCTACATCTTTGATTTTATTGCATTCATAGATATTTAAATTAATTTGCATAGATAACATGAGGAGAAGATTGTACAATCATTGATTTAGTGTAGTAATATAAAGTGAGATTATTTTTTTGTTGATTTATTATTCAATTGTAGTTTTAGATTATAATTTTTTGTTTAAATACCAGGGGGAGAAGATTGCTAAATTACTTTAGCAGCGAACGTGAGCGTTGAATCTTACTGGCCAGGCTTGTTCGCCAAGCTAGCCGAGAAGAGGAGCATAGAAGACCTTGTGTTGAATGTCGGGGCTGGTGGCGGTGGCGGTGGCGGTGCTGCTCCGGTAGCTGTTGGTGGTCCAGCCGGTGGAGCCGCTGCTGCTGCGCGGGCGCCTCTCCTCCTGAGGAAAAGAAGGTAAAAGAAAACAGATTTCATTTTTTTGTTCTTTTGATTTATTGAAGGAAATGGAAATGTTGATGATTAACTGTGGCTTTATTTTTGATGAATTTTAACAGGAAGAACCCAAGGAAGAGAGTGATGACGATATGGGATTCAGTCTGTTTGATTAGGTGCTCCTTCAATATCATTTGTTTCTCTTATTTGCTAAAACTTTGATTACTTTTACTGGTATCAGTAGTGTTGTTTGGTCTTAAATTTTCCAGATTATCTGTTTTTTATATGATCTACTGGTGGAAGTAGTAGTTTTGTTTTGGTTTATTGTGGACCAGTTTATGTTCTATTTATGTCCAATTTTGGTTGAATCCCTCCTTGTGATTGCATTGATGGATTTGTAACTCTTGCGTTGGAAGTGGATCAAGATTGCATTAACTTTAAGATGATTGAAATGTTTTGGAAGTGTTCTTCGTTTATTAAGTGGCCCAGCTGAAAGATGGCACAACCATGATTTGAAGGGATTGCCAATACGACACCTTGAATCATGGTCCGCAATTCATTCAGACTTGTAGCACTATATTCAAGCATCAATCTAGTAAACACAGGACTCAGCCTTGGAATTAAAATAAATCCTCTCTATTACGTATGTGAAGTTATGAAATGTTAATATATTGATTTTCTCTGTTGTTTTAGTAGATGACTAGGTGTTGTCCGTGCTTGAAGACACATAATAATAAAAAATAAAAAATAAAAAAATATATTGTATTTATATCCAAAATTAAATCACAAATACAGAGAAGAGATAAAATAATTTAAATATTGATTTGTAGTAGAGTGAGAGATGGTGAGTGT